TAGTAGAAACCACAGCAGATGTGATGCTGGGAATCCTTTTAGGTATCCAGGCACCCCATGTTATATCTGTTTTATATGTTTCTGCCTTGACGCAACCTCTTTCTGCCAGCAGGCTCACATCCTATGAAGTTCCCCTCCTGGCTACATCTAACATTAGGTTACATTCTGTGGCCTATTGAAATCCAGCTCTTCTTTGCCTCGTAACTAATAAGAACAAATATCCTACACATGATTGTCTAGATTTGACTGAACAACTTTTAACTCCTCAGAAAGACTTAAAAGAGACACCTTTAACTAATGCTGATCTAGTTTTATTTGTGGATACTTCCTATTTAAAATTAATCTTACTAGTTCTCACTATCAAGCTGGATATGCTGTGATGACTTCTACTGATGTCCTTGAAAGTTAGGCTCTCTCTGAAGCCACTTCAGCCCAACAAGCCAAATTGATTGCCCTCACTAGAGCTTGTACAATTGCTTCAGGAAAATCTGTCAATACTTTTATGGGCAATGGATATTGTTTTGGAATTGTACATGATTTTGGCATGTTATGGAAATGATGAGGATTTTTAACCTTTTCCAGAAATGCCATAAAAAATGGAGCTTTAGCTGTGGACCTTTTAGATGTTCTATTAGTCCCTTCTAAAACTGCTGTGATAAAAATACAAGCTCACCTACCAAAAGGATACCCTGAACTGAAGAAATTAGAGGAAACAGTCTTGCTGATATGGCAGCCACACAAGCTGCCTCTCAAGTTATTTCTGCAGATAAATAAAGTAAGGGTCTCACCAAGTCTATCTACTGATAACTCCAACCTTCATGAATTAATGTTAGAAAAACTTTAAAAATACCAACAACTAGCTCAAACAGACAAAATTAAGGTATAGAAAAAGGCAAGATGTTACCAAGATTCTGTCATTAAATTGTAGACTGGGCCTAATAAGAAAACTGTCTTAGTCAATTTCCTACATGTCCCTATGATGTGAGTATTACATGAAGGTTCCCTTGTGGGATGTGATAAAATGATAAAGACCTTATAAAAATACTGGTTGGGAAAATTTTTCAAGGCTGATGAATATGTTGTCAGCCCTATTTGCCCTGACTCCAATCTCAGAAAACACCTGAAAGTCACACCTTGACAACCCCCTTTACCTTCCAGGCCTAGGCCTGAATGGCAGCTGGATTTGATTCAGCTTCCACCCTAAAATGGTTACAAATATGTATTATTTATAACATATAACATATGAGGCAGACAGGTGAATCAAGGTCCTGGACCAGGCCTGAAAATGTACCCCTTTAGCTTTTTTTCTTTTTACTTTAGTTACAATCATTCCTCTACTAATGTTTTCCTACACTGGGCAGATGCTTATGCTCACCATTTTGAAAGGTTTAATTTTTAGATATTTGATACCCTCCCAATCTGAAGTCAGTCTGGCCTTCCCTGGTGGGTCTCTCCACTACAGGGATCTGATTGGGTTGCTTTGATCTATGAATACAAGAACAGCAGAGAAATAGTTAATTACTACAGGAAATCTCTGAATGAAACCCAGGCTGTAACTTAACCTTTAGTCTTAACACAACCCTTATCTTACTAAATAAGGTCATCCAAGAATAACTAGCTAAAGAATCTTCCAAACCTACAAATAATACTTTTCATATTGTAGGTCCATATCAACAACTGTGGGATGGATTCATCTGGTTAACTCCCCAAACAGGGAGGTTAAGTCAGGTTGTTCCCCTTTGGAGAGAATAATCTAACCACACCCATATGAACAACCCAGCCATCATCAGACCTATGGGATGGCTTGCAATGTGTGAATGTGCATGCATCAGTTATGATCTTACAAGCTACTGACTGGTCTGCCATCAACTCATCAACTGGCTATGATGCTCAGGCATCTATTGGGTAGTCCTTAATTGCATCTTTTGGCTATGTGGAACCAACCTTTGGCCCACCAAGCTGAACTGGAATATGTACTCTGGGCCTAAGATGGACTCAAGGATGTATTTTAACTAAACTCCCTTTATCAGCTAATGTACCCTCAGTAAGGATTTGGTGGTCTCAATCAGTGTTTCATTGGTTTCATCATTTAGTGACAGTACTCACTTCTAATAGGACTTGAAGATGTAGAAATATACACTGTCTACTGATCATATCACACATACATAGAAATGTACATACAGAAATATTAACCAACTATATACAAACTGCCCTAAATGACAGTGCCCATGGGCTTCAAGAGATCAATACTGAAATGGCCTTTGACATTCTCACTGTAGCCCAATGAGGTACCTGTGCCATAATAAAATCTGATTGCTGTGTCTAAATTCCTGACAACATTGCTAATATTGTTATTATTAGATGCTGTTGAGTTGGTTCCACCTCATAATGACCCTATGGACAATAGAACAAAACACTGACTGATCCTACACCATCTTCACAATCCTTGCTACGCTTGAGCCCATTGTTGCAGCCACTGTGTCAATCCATCTCACTGAGGGTCTTCCCCTTTTTCACTGACCCTCTACTTACCTAGCATGATATCCTTCTCCAGGGACTGGTCCCTTCTGACAACATGACCAAAGTATGAGAGACCAAGTCTGGCCATTCTTGCCTCTAAAGAACATTCTAGCTGTACTTCCTCCAAGACAGGTTTGTTTGTTCTTCTAACAGTCCTTCAATATTTTTCGCCAACACCACAATCCAAAAGCATCAATTCTTCTGTGTCTTCCTTATTTATTGTCCAGCTTTCACGTGCATGTGAAGCTATTGAAAATACCATGGCTTAGGTCAAGTGCACTTTAGTCTTCAAAGTGATATCTTTGCTCTTAAACACTTTAAAGAGGTATTTTGCAGCAAATTAGCTCAATGCAATGGATTGTTCTATTTCCTGATTGATGTTTCCATGGGTGTTGATTGTGGATCCAAGTAAAATTAAATCCTTGACAAACTTCAATTTTTTTTTCCATTTATCAAAATGTTGTTTATTGGTCCAGTTGTAAACATTTTTGTGTTATGGTGAGGTGTATTCCATACTGTGGTCTGTAGTCTTTGATCTTCATCAATAAGTGCTAATATTAGTCTATGTTAATCATAACCTCATATGCATGTGAGAACTGGACAATGAATAAGGAAGACTGCAGAACTGATGCAGCTGTATTGTGGTGCTGGCAAAGAATAATGTATGTACCATGCACTGCTAGAACAACAAACAAATCTGTTTTGGAGGAAGTACAACTGGAATGTTCCTTAGAAACGAGAAGAGACTTTGTCTTTTGTGCTTTGGTAATATCAGAAGGGACCAATCCCTGGAGAAAGATATCATGCTTGGTAAAGTGGAGGGTGAGTGGAAAAGGCGAAGACCCTCAATGAGATAGACTGACACAGTGGCTGCAACGAGGAGCTCAAGCAAAGGAACAGTTGTGAGGATGGCACAGGACCAGGCAGTGCTTCATTCTGTTGTACACAGGGTCACTATGAATCAGAACCAACTCAACGGCACCTAAAACAACAACAACAAATCATATGTAATGTGTAGTATCTGTTCTTAATTATCCTGTTCCTTCTTTAAGTGATGCTAGAAGTAATTGATTTTCCTCTTGGGGTGGATGATAGAAAAAAATGCTACTTTATTTTGGAATCTTTATATTCTTCACTGCTTCTATTACTGTAATTAGAAAATGCTGCTTTGCTTTGGTTCAATGAATTTCAATCAATGACATGCCGTACTTCAAAACCACTTGACCCTTCACATAAAATCACGCTGGCTTTACAGGTTTTCACCAATGAGTGTGTTGTTTAATCACCTTCCTTTTTGTCTTCCTAGACATGCTTCATCTTGATCTCTATCACTCTGTCCTGACTGAGAAGTATTCCTCAAATGTGGCCTTGTCCATCAAAATGTCCCCCATAAAACCTACTCACCCTGAAGATGAGGCCTATTAGCTCAGCATGGTGAGGAAAATAATTTTTATTAATCAAAGCTCTTCAAGAAAATAAAGTTCTTGCAGAAGAAAGGCTACCCCATTGTGGGTGATCACCATCCCTTAGTGGAAGTTTGATCAAAAGAAGAAAATATGCAGATGGAAATTTTCAACATGGAGGCACTCATCTCAGGACAGAAATTGCAGGACCAACATGCAGTCCCGAGAAGCAAAAGGTCAGGATGTAAATAATTTATTCCTAGGACAAATATGTATGACTGAATCAGGTGGTGCCACTCTCCTGGGGAGTAAAACTCACCCTGCCCCAGCTAAATGGACGACTTTTACACTTCCAAGGCCTCCAAAGGTGAGCTGAATCAATCATTCACTCCCTACCTTTCCTTTGTTTTCTATGCATAAAAACCTCTAACTCTGTTAATAGAGAGAGTGGAATGCTTTGTATTTTTACTTAGTGCTGCCTAGTTCTGTTGCATTTCCTCAATAAAACTCCCTTTTCTTTTACTTCTAACAGAGCACGGGATTTTCTTCTTTGACACCTGTCTCAGACTCAGTTTCCTAAATGGGAATATTAATAGTTTCTACTTACAGGCTGTCATGTGGGTTACACCCGATAATGCCTGTATACCATGCTTGGATCATACTCCACGCTCATAAACCACAGCCGTGATGATCATTATTTTAATTGTAAGTCTGCCTATTTAAAGCATGTCTAATCTTCCCATCAAAAACATCAGGGAGCGATCAAAATGCAAGCTAAAACAAAAATTCCCCTGAGGCTGCCAACCTCCAAATTACACAGATGACACAAAGCTGACTTCTCCTGGCTTTGATTAAAATTTGAATACTTTCTTCACTTTGGTTAAAAAAAATAATAATAATAATTAGAGAATGAAATATGACATACAGGACAAAAAATGAAGTAGAAAAATGGGAAATGTCAAAACAGTAGCACTAGCAGCTTAAAGAATATCCATCTTCATTCTTCCTGCTCTGCTGTGATTTAGGAGAAGAAATATCTCTAGAGGTGCCCCCTCCAACCCCCAGCTCCAGTCCTACCTGGTCGTCAGCCCACAGCCCAGCCTGGGTGAAGGGCCTGTCATCGCCCTCGCTGTCAGCTGTGCTGGGTCTCCTCAGAGCCTCCTCATGCTGCAGGCTGCAGAGGCTCTCCACATCCACATCAAATGTCTCATCAGAGCAGAATATGGCCTCAAGAATGTCGTCATCAGTCGTGAATAAGATTGTGTCTCCAAAGTGCTCTGGGGCTGAAAGAGTCACCAGGGAGGCAGAGGGTCAATTCACCTCAAAGCCTAGTAATTTTCAGGTCAAGAACATAAGCCCATAGACCTCTGTGCTATAAAATCCTGAACTATTAATGCTTCTTGATGAGTGAGTCTTATCATTCCTCATGTGTTTGCAAATGGATTTCAGGGAGTATAAGAACACTGTATGTCTAATGAAGGGATCTAATCTAATGAGAATCATTGTGATCTGTCATCAAGCAGGTGTGAGTGAGACACTGTAGCAGATGCTGCTGGTGCTGCTCAGATCCCTGCTAGTACCTTTTATAGGGGGCCTTGCCTGGAGGGCTCTGGAGAGCCTGGTGTCAATGCCTGATTGGCTGTGGAGTGAGAGGCTCTGCTCCTTTGTCTTAAAGCAGGACAAGCCCTGCAACTGATACTGCAGAGCTCCAGTTGGTCCAGCTGAGCTGGGCTTCCCCTGCAGCCATACCCTTACTTGGCTTCTCCCCATTCCATATCCTATAGCTCTCACTGCCCTCCATGTTCCTCCAAAGAACACTCCTTCAATAAATCACCTGCAGAGAAATCCCCCTTCCCAGGCCCAGATTCTAGGGAATGTGGCTAAGGCAGGTCCCTAACTGAGGGTTTAAATAGATGCATGAGGTTGGTTCCACCTGGGCTGCAAAAGGTGAGAAGCCGACCAGGGGTGTGAAAGAGGACCGACCTATCTGTCATTGGCTCACGAGTGGGTCTGTTTCTTCCTCTGAGCCTCAAAGGGTAGCAGGCAGTGGCTTAGAGAGCAATCTTACAGATATACTGTACCTCCTGTCAGGGTTCCCGAGGCCTTTGCAATTTCTCCTTTAAAGATACACTGAGTGTCCAGCAGCATTGTGATGTCTTTCACGCCACGGAAGGAATGTATGCGTGATTTATTGTAATTCCAAATCCTGATCAGGGCAACTTGGCAAGGGTGCATGAAATCAATTGTAATGGAGTGAGACTTGCCCGGTGTGAAGGGTGCCAGCCAGACGTGCATGTCATCCTGGGTCCTGTTCACCCCGTCGATGAGGTTGGTGACCACACGGGGGTCTTTCCCATATGCTGGTAAAATGTTGATGTCAGGGGGATCTGCCTTAATGTTCAGAATTTGCACTGGCTCACCCTTGGAACTGAATATTTCTATTCCATTAAGGCCGATGTAGTGTCGGTCCCCCCACGTTGACTTGATGTCGATAACCAAGTGCTGCCCGTAAGGCAAGACTGGGATTTTAAAGTCACTGCCATCATCCATCTCTGTGGAGCCGTCATCCTGCTCTTGCAGTGGCTCTGGCTTTTCCTCCTTCCAGGGTGGTGGCGGGTCGCTCTGCCGGCTGCTTTTCTGCTGCTGTAGGAACTCATCCAGGATGTCCCCCTGGAACTCTACATTAGAGATGCGCCCCCTGTGCGAGAGGTTGAAGGCACTGAGGGAGTTCCATGACTCGTGCAGCATGTGTTCCTGCTCGCTGCACCACCGGGACCGTGGCGGTGTCCGGGTGGACAAGGTATCTTCTGGAAGAAAGGACACATGAAGGCCACGTGTTAGTGGGAGCCCTTAGAGACCGTTTGATCCACTGGCTCTCAGCTGGGCATGGTCGCCCTCCAGAGGGCATTCTGGAAACCAGTGGGGTTGTTCTTGGCCGTCTCAGTGTCAGGGAGGGCCACTGGTACTTGGTGAATGAGGGCAGGGATGCTGATATTCTGTGAGCATGGAACAGCTGGTCAACCAAGCATGGTCTCAAGTCTCACACAACTTCAGACCATCCCACTGGAATTCAGGTCATTGTTTATGATGTTTATAATTGTTTATGGTGGCCTAAGTCTAGGACCTGGCTGTTTTACACAACACATATTTTTTAATTTACTTAGAATTTTTGTAGAATACAACTACCATGCAAATCAAGGAAGGACTGTTTTGCTTTGTTGGAAACTTCACCAGAAGTTGTTCACCACTTTGCAAACTGACCTCACTGTGGCAATGCTGCCGCCCCAGTATCTGAATTAGCAACTCAGCACCTGCTTTTGAGGCTGTCACAGTCACATATCCTAACACTGTTTTCAGACTACTTAATTCCAGGTGGGATGCTCATGAAAGAATGCTAAATAGAACACACTCAGCTATGCAATTGTAGATACAGCACATCCTAATATGGCTGACATGCACCAATGTGTTAACAGTGATCATTTCTGAGTGGTGAGTATGAAGGAGTTTTATCTTCTTCTTTGTAACTTTACCTTCTAAGTTCCCTAGATGGAGTTTATATTACTTTTATAATCAGGAAAAACATGCTATTAAAAAAGTAAAAACCCAGGAATGATTATAAGGTGAGTATATGGATTGAATTATGTTTTGAAAAATATATTATTGAAAAATATATATCAAAATCCTGGCCTCTATACCTTAAATATGACCCTATTTGGAAATGAAGTTTCCTTTGTTATGTTAGTAGGGCATACTCAAGAAGGGTGAGTTGTAAACCTAATCACTCTGAGTGATAGAAAGACCAGACTGGAGACACGCTACGGGAAACAGATGCCATGTGAGAACATGTACAAGGCATACTCAGGAAGGGTGAGTTGTAAACCTAATCACTCTGAGTGATAGAAAGACCAGACTGGAGACACACTACGGAAGACAGATACCATGTGAGAACGTGTACAAGTGAAGGAACTAAGGAACGACTGGGGCTAATGACAAGGGGGAACCAACACAGCCGAGACCCTGATTTGGATGTTTACCCTCCGAAACTGTGGGAAAAGAAATTTCCGTTCTTTAAAGCCACCCACTTGCAATAGAAGGAATTAAAATTAAAATAAAAAAGTTCCATGAATTAAACAAGAATGAAAGCACAACATACCAAAATCTTTGGGACACAGCAGAAGCAGTGATCAAAGGACAATTTACAGCAATATGTGCACACTTCGAAAAAGAAAAGCTGAACCAACACCTCAACCCAACATCAACAATTAGAAAAAGAGGAGTAAGAAAAGCCTATAGGCAATAGAAGAAAGGAAATAACAAAGATTCAAGCAGAAATTAAAGAAACAGAAAACATAAAAACAATAGAAAGAATCAAGGACTAGAAGGTAGTTCTTTGAAAAGATTAATAAAATTGACAAATCACTGGCAAATTTAACCAAAGAAAAGAAGGAGAAGATGCAAATAACATGAATAAGAAATGATATGGGTGACATCACAATAGAACCAACAGAAATAAAAAGGATATTCTGATACTATGAAGAACTACACTCCAACAAATTTGAAAACCTACAAGACATGGACAGATTTCTAGAAACACACTACTTACCTAAACTAACACAGACTGAGGTAGAAAATGTGAACAGACCCATCACAAAAGAAGAAACTGAACAGGTCATAAAAAAACTACTAACAAAGAAAAGTTCTAGCCCAGACAGTTTCACTGGAGAATTCTACCCAACATTCAGAGAAAAGCTGACACCAATCCTATTCAAACTATTCCAGAACATAGAAAAGGATGGAGTAGTCCCAAATTCAGTTTATGAAGCAAGCATAACCCTGACACCAAAATCAGACAAAGACACCACTAGAAGGAAAAGTAAACACCAGTGTCCTTCATGAATATAGACATAAAAATCCTCAACAAAATCCTAGCCAACAGAATCCAAGACTATATGAAAAAAAATAATACATCATAACCATGTGAGATTCATACCAGGTATGCAAGGATGGTTCAACATTAGAAAAACAATCAATGTAATCCATCACATAAGTAAAATAAAGGAAAAGAAACACATGACCATATTAATTGATATAGAAAAGGCATTTGATAAAAATCCAACACCCATTCCTGATAAAAAGTCTCAGAAAAATAGAATTAGAAGGGAAATACCTCAACATAATAAAGAGTATATATGCAAAACCAACAGCCAACATTATTCTCAATGAGAGAGACTAAAAACATTCCCCTTGCAAATGAGAACTTCTATTCAACATTGTACTGGAAGTCCTAGCCAGGGCAATAAGGCAAGAAAGAGAAATAAAAGGCATCCAAATAGACAAAGAAGAAGTAAAACTATTTCTATTTGCAGATGTGATCCTATACACAGAAAAACCAAAAGACTTAGCAAGAAAACTGCTGGAACTATCTGAAAGATTCAGCAAAGTGGCAGGATACAGGATCAACATCCAAAACTCAGTTGGATTCCTCTACATCAAAAAGAGACATCCAGAAAGGGAATAAGGAAAACAATACCATTTACAATAGCTACCAAAAAGATAAAACACTTAGGAATAAATCTTATCAGGGATGAAAAAAAAAAAAAAGACCTATACAAAGAAAACTACAAAACACCACTACAAAAAACCATAAGAGACCTACATAAATGGAAGAACATGCCATGCTCTTAGGAACAGTGTGAAAATATCAGTACTACCCAAAACAATCTATACATTCAATGCAATCCAGATCCAGAGTCCATCAACAGTCTTTAAAGACATGGGAAAACCAACCACTAATTTTATATGGAAAGGAAACAGACCTCAGAGAAGCAGAGCACTACTGAAGAAGAACAAAGCAGGAGGCATAACACTCCCCAATCTCAAAACCTACTATATAGCCACAGAAGTCAAAACAGCCTAGTACTGATACAATGACAGACACATAGACCAGTGGGACATAATTGGGAACCCAGAAATAGATCTATCCACTTATGTACAGCTGATCTTTGACAATGGGCTAAAACCCTTTATATGAGGAAGAGACAGTCTCTTTAACAAATAGTGCTGGCAAAACTGGATATCCATTTGCAGAAAAATGAAACAAGATCCATACCTCACACCATACACAAAAACTAACTCAAGATGTCTCAAAAAGTTAAATGTAAAACCTAAAAGTATAAAGCACATTAAAGAAAAAATATGGACAAACTTAGGGGCCCTAATATATGGCATAAATAGACTATTAGACATAACTAAAAAATGCACAAATAGCAGAAGAGAAAATAGATGACTGGAACCTTCTGAAAATTAAATTCTTATGTCCATCAAAAGACTTCATCAAAGAGTGAAAAGAGAATCTACAGATTGGGAAAAACTATTTGGCAATGACATATCCAACAAGGGACGTATCTCTAAAATTTATAGAAAACTTCAACACCTCAACATCAAAAAGACAAACATCCAATTCAAAAAATGAACAGAGGACATGAACAGACACTTCACCAAAGAAAATATTCAGGTGGCCAACAAACACATGAAGAAATGCTGACACTCATTAGCCATCAGAGAGATGCAACTAAAAACAACAACTAGATATCATCTCACCCCAGCAATAATAGCAAAGTTCAACAAGAGAGAAAACGACAAATGCTGGGAAGGATGTGGAGAGATTAGAACTCTCATACACTGCTGGTGGGACAGTAAAATGGTACAACCACTGTGGAAAACGGTATGTGCTTCCTTAAAAAGCTGGAAATAGAAATACCATTTGATCCAGCAATCCTATTACTAGGTATACATGTTAAAGAAGTGAGAGTCGGGACATAAATAGATATATGCACACCCACATTCATCACAGCACTATTCACAATAGCAAAGAGATGAAAACAACCTAACTGCTCATTAATGGATTAGTGGACAACCAAACAATGGTACACACATGCAATGGAATACTATGCACCATTAAAGAATAATGAAGAATCTGCAAAACAGCTCATAATGTGGATGAATTTGGAGGACATTAAGCTGAGTGAAATAGGTCAATTACATTGTATGAGTTCACTACTATAAAAAGTCAAGGAAAGGTTTATATATGGATGGAAACTTTCTTTGTTGGTTACCAGGGATGGGAGCGGAAGGGTAGGGAGAGAAAATCACTAACCAGGTAAGAGACATATACTGATTTGGGTAAAGGGAAAGGCAATACACCAAAAGCAGGTGACCAGCACAGTATCACTAAGGAAAAGGAAGACACGAAGAGGTACACAAGAGGTACAAACAACAAAGGTAAATACTATTCCATATACAATACTGCATTATCAGTAGTAACAAATACTAATCTACGAGTAGATACATAGGTAGACAGGCAAGATGATTAGAAGCGGGCGGGCAAACAGGAATATTCCCGTGACTACATATAGGTTTGGCTGATAATATTTCTATATACATATTTGTATGTGCTATAAAAATATCCATACATATAATAGAGCTAAAGCAAAACAAAAAACAAACTCACTGCCATCAAGTTGGATCCAACTCACAGTGACTCCTCCTTGGGGTTTCAGAGGCAGTATCACTACGGAAGTAGATTGCCCAACCTTCCTTTCGAGGAGTGGCTGGTGGGTTTGAACTGCCAGCCTTCTGGTTAGCAGTCAAATACCTTGGGCACTATGCTACCAGAGTTCCTTTATATAATAGAGCTAACAGGGGAAAAGTTATTATTACTTCTTAGCCTCAACTAAACAGAAGAGAGTGAGTCCCTGGGGCTATGGGCTTGGGACCATGGTCTCAGGGGACATCAAGCTCAACTGGC